ACAAAACAAAAAAGAAATGAAAACGATGAAGAGAAGGTAAATGAAAACAAAGACCAATAAAAAATAAGGGGATATAGTATAGCGGTATTACACTGTGTTTGCATCACTGTGATGGGAGTTCGACTCTCCCTATCTCCATGTACATCCTATTGAAATAAATTTATAAGCCATAGTAGCATAGTTGGTAATGCACTTGACTGAAGATCTCGTTAGTGATAGGTTCGAATCCTTCCTATGGCATAAAACAATTTAAACCAAAGGCAATAAATATATATCTTAGCGATAATTTTCTTTAAATTAATTAAAAAGACAGAAAATTATAACATTACTAAATAAACAAATTATATAATTTATCTTTGGTTTTCTTTGTTTATTATTTCTAGACTACTTTTCTTCTTTTCCTGGCTTAGTTTCTGTGCTATTTGCTTTTATTTATGTTTTTTCTACTTTTTCTTTTTCATCTTTGTTTTGGTTTTTGGTTTGTAAAAATAAAAAGAAAAAGAAAACAAGAAAAAGAAAACAAAAACAGAGGAAATTAAAAATAAGGGAAAGTAATGAAAAGAAAAAACTAAAACAAGAACTAAAAGAAATAAGGTTTAATATGGACAGTTTTCCTAGCCCGGTTAAGGAGATTTACTGTAAATAAATTGATTTTATATCATCGTGTGTTCGAATCACACCTGTCCAATTACTTATCATTACATTTTTGATATAAGAATACTAGGAGGTTTACCTATAACTAAATATAAATATAGAGGACATAGTTTAATCGTCAAATTCTTCAGTCTTCCCCCTCCCCACCTACAAATATTATTATTACCCCAGTAATATAAAAGGGGTCGGGTAACTAAGTAATTAAGGTAATTAACTATATACTATTTACTAGAATAATCGACGATATATGTCTATCTCAATGTTATTTATAACATTAAATATAAGAACAGTATGTATAAGGCTGTGACCTTGCACCACTACTGCAAACTAGAGACCTGTATGCGTATCATCTCACTGATTAATACAATTATAGTATGATATGCCATTATACAAATCGATATGCGAATATATCCGCTAATGTTACAAGTGTATAATAACTAATTTAATTCCATGCAACGCTTCGTTCGAATACCTAAAGATATAGCATATGCCCTTAACTTAGACAACCCTCGTAA